AATGACATGGGCGTGTCACCGTTCAGAGTTGAGGATATAGATGATAGAAGGAGGTCAGCAAATGAACTCTGTGACGATTTTCCAACCTAGGGCGTCAACCTGAGAAGGAATATGGGCGTACTGCTCTAAGTCCTACAGTTCTTCAAGGGTAGTTCGTCAAGGCAGAATCCACAACATTTGATGCATTGATTGAACATATGTTTGTGTTAAGTAATTGAGTGGGGTTCAATTAATGTAATTGTTGGTTAATCTTGTTTGTGTCCGGACATTCTTCAACTCACAATCGTCAACCTGAGAAGGGTTGCAAGCGTACTGGTGTAAGTCCTGCGATTCTTCAGAGGAATTACATCAAGACATGATCTGCGAGGTTATGTGTACTGTTTGTATATACGTATGGTGTGTCATATCAATTGGTGTTTTTGGATTCATTGTGTTTACTTGTTGTTTTCGTACCTTGTTGTTATGCATAATTTTGTTAAAATGTTCGTTGTGCTTATTTCTGAATTTGTTTCGAGTCCTCTACATCCGTGAATGAAGTGATTGATGTTAAAGACAGCAGATGGGTCGTATACGCCGGGGAGGCTATTTCTGAGAATGATATGCACACGGAGATAAGGATTAGCTGTGGAATCAGTGATCGAGCATGAATGCTTCTATTTAGGCTGTGGCCTCACACGCCGGGGAGCAAGAGTGTGGACGGTTGAGGTTTGCATACGACACCGTTGCTAGAAGTGGGGCAGGATGAATGACAAGCGATCGCAATGGTAATTGATAGTGAATAGATAAGAGGATGTGCGAAGAGTATCATGAGGTGCTGCTATGGTCACGTTGCTTTCTGCTAGTCATTCTAGCAAGTGATGATTGTGTTGCAAGATGTCAAGAGGATGCCTTCAGCTGGAAGGCGTAGGTCATCATCGATGAGAGTGATTTTGCTGTGGGTACGCCTGTGGTGTGTTGGCTTTGCTGTTTGTTTTCTATTTCAGCTTTGTCCGTGTGACCCAGGTTCTCGCACTGGCATCCAAGTCAACGTGTATTAGTCACGATGGAGAAAAGGGGTGGATCCGTTTTTTGCCGGGGAGTGTCAATGTAGTTGAGGATTGAACGATCAATTCATGTTTGTTTGCTCAAACCCAACTCCTCCATAATTTTCACGGGAGTCATCAATCCAGCAGTCATCATCTCATCGTTCGCTGTTCAGTGGAAGATCGAAAACTATCAGAAGTATTATCATGATTTATTGTTATAACATTTATTCTTAGACCTTGTGTGTAACAACCTTATTGTTGGTTACCGGTTGGCGTAAGAATAAAGGATTCTCGAGTCGCCAGTGTTCTGGTTTTTCGCGTTGGTCAATACAAATTGTTTCTGAAAGTCTTCCAGAGACAGCGTGAGGTCCAGCATAGTAAGAGCTGGACATTGACAGTTTCTGTGATTTGGCCGACAACTGGTAATGCAGTAGTTTCCAAAGCTTGTACAAAGATTCCAACAAAAATTACGACGCCTAAGTGACAAATAATAAGAGTCTTGTCACCAATAATAATTATTACGTTCATGTTCATAGTGACCATGAAAACAATAATAGGTATAATTATCACGACGAACTCATCATTAACTAAGATAAACTACTACTTTTGAAACAATCATATCAATTATATGTATCGTTTAATCTTATGAAGGAGGTGTTTACTTACTTTCTCTGTATTCTCACAATACTGATGTGGTCAACTAGCCTATTCCAAATGAACTAACAGCTAATTCTCAATATGAATGTAGATCCAGTTTATGTCAAATAAAATATGTATTATACCGCTTACTGTGACGTTTGATACCTGCTTTCCTATCTTAATGACAAGAACACAGTGTATATACATTATTTTGATTATAGCTGTAATCCACACCGTAATTTTCGTGCAAGCATTGAATTTTCGCTATGTGATATGGGAAACTCACATTTTTTTATGCCAACTATTGATATCAGTTGTGCGTCGGCAGATGTTCAAACGTCGGGCTGTGTGCATGGTCGATGAGTGTCCCAGCCGCTGTTCCACCATCACAGATACAGAAGCATACATATATGCTTCATCAACCATGCCATCTTTATCATGATTTACCAGACTTGTGTATTTTATACTTGTTCAAGGATCTCTGAAAATAATAGTCAAGAGATAATTGAAGTTGCACAAAGTTATCACCTCTTCAGAACATTGATTGTTCTTCGATGTTCATATGTAATGGATTGATTGAATTCAACAAATAAATCTTCTGGTATATCATTTCTATCCCGAGCTGTAATAGCACGTGTTGTTAGTTATGCATTCGACTTGATAAAACGCTCCCGTAAATTGCGAACTTAACCAAGCATCTAAATGATGTTTGATATTACCACAACTCGAATGACAAACTGGCCGATCACAAGTGAGTAAATCCCATGTTTGTTTCACTCGCGGGCAGAAAAAATTACGGCCGTCGACAGACTGTCCCATATAATCTCCCGATGACTAGGCCGTTATTAGCACAGACCCTACTAGTGAAAGAAATGTGTGACATTTAGGGCTTCTTGAATATGCATTTGCTGAGTATGTATTGAAGGGAGTGTACGGGTGGATAACCACACCACAACGAAGCCGCCAAGCTCTTTTCCTTTCAAAATTATTCTGTTCACCATGTGTTTCACTATGCACGGATAAACATATTGATCGTTTACAGAAAATCGGCTGGTGTTCAATTGACCTGACGGGTTTATCTGGTCCTCTACAGTTTTGTGCAACACCACCCTTATGAGATGGTGAAATCTCTTTTCTCCCACAGAAAATGATTTAGCAGTTATATTCCTGCTGGAACATTCATATTCTCACGCATTCTAGTTAGCATTGTTCTAACCGAGTGGAGGCAAATAGACGTGCAGATGTTTCATCTCAAATATCTGTCGTTCAGCTGGATGTCACGAAGTTACATCAGTCTGACTACTCATTACTTCAATTATCCCCGAGCTGATTCTTTAGCGCGCAAAGCTATTGGTACTGCTACTTTCTTACAGCAAATATACTCTCTTCGCCATTTTCGGCTGTTCTTCCGCTTTCTGTCTCAGACTGCCCATACACATCGTATTTTGTCGGTTCCTCACGCTCCCCTTTCACACAGTACCTACTGTCAGTTAATCAAGTCAAACGCAGTTGGTTATAATGGGGAACCAATGTCATGGATCAAAGGGCCTCGTCGCACCAGTTGCAACGCTTTTCCTGTTTACCGAATTTGTATGTATTTACATGCTTATTTCTGGAGTTAATGAAATGAGTATTCACGGTGGGTCGACGCTGTAATTCGGGCGTCTGATATAAGTGCTTATATGTACCTTGTAGGCGACTAGTGCCACCGGCGACAGTTGCCGCTAACGCGTGCCGGCGTGCTAGATACCCATATTCTTCAAGACAGTGTCAGAATTGTTAGGTTTTCGGAAACATTTCGCTTCCTGGCCATAGGCATTGTGATACCAGCACATGTTGTTGACTTAAACTGACCGCGTGAGTTGAGCCATAAAGGGGCGTTCAGATGACAACAGAAGGAATTACGAGTTATATTTGGCCTAATTAGCTGCTGAATGGAGTTTTATTACTCTATCGCTGCAGTTTCCCTACTCAAAGTCTGTTCGACAACTGAGCATATTTCAGTGACTAGACGTTTTGTTATTTATAGAATTTTATCTACAGAAGTTGCTAGGTCATCTATAACAACACCCTGAAGTATCACCAGTACAGCCCGTACTGACTGTGGCAGTTTGGATAAGAAAAGTTCTCTGAAAATTCATTCATCAAACTGACGTTGGCCAGTAACTTCTCTCATTCTTGATAGCATGCTCACGGATAACTGATCCCCTGACTCGATGTTACAAAATAATTCGTCCAGACACTGTTGATCCGTGAGAACGTTTTTCCATAGGAGGGTTGCTCTAAGCAAATCATACGAGTTGCTTACCTCTCAGCTCGACATCTGCACAGTTACGCACTTGCTGCTTTACTGAGGTAGGGAGTGAACAAACGCAAGGAACTATGAACTTTGATCAGATAACCCATGTTCACTGAAATCAGACTTGGCTATCTGAAACCATGATTCGGCATTCTCTAGCGAAAATGGCACGAGCTGAATATTTCGGCAGTTGATCGTATACGGATGACTTTGGGAGTATGGTCACTCATGGCGAAATATATGTATTTAGTTTAGAAATAGTGCAAGAACAAATACAAAATGGAACGAACCCAACGGATTTGTATGAGTATTTACCAAAGATGAAGTTCGCGGTACTGCTAACCAGTCCAGGGTCTAAATGTGTTGACGTTCACGGATAGCGCGAAGCATACTTACGCAATACCTGATACCCACGGCTTCTATATTATTCGTTCTGCGTACGCCAAAGGCAAAGTAAAACACAAGAATCGACCATCCAAATTACGAGTTACGTTTCGGGACTGAATCGGAGTGCGAGATGATTGCGTGCTACGGATCGTGCACGAATGAACGAACGTAATACGACAGCGTACCAAATGGCATGGATGGTTGACCTGAAATCTCCAGCTTAACAAGTTCACTTGAACAGTGAGGGTCAGAATCCATGAATGCTACGGCCAATAATTCCGGGGAATTACCTACCGCTACAAGATTCCCCTCAAATTGACGTTGGGATTAGAAACACCTGGCGCTTTGATAAATATGTTTGTGTGAGAAAACTTCCACAGACACACTTTATATGTGAATCCAGGGAGAGTAGCTTACATACTGCTCATATTTTTGACGAAACAGATCACGGAAGCTTCTAAACTGATGAAGTGAAGGTCGTCTTTGCTGTTGTCAGATTCCGAATAAGATGAATAAACAGTATTCATAGTTTGGAACAAGACAATCAACCCCGAAACTGGACAATCTTCTGCAGGTTTGGTGATGTGTTGACTGCTTTTTGTTTAAGTAGGTACACAAGCGAACGGCGGCTTTGTTCGGAGAGTTTATTAATGTCGGTGAGCGCTAGGAACAGGATTATCCAAGTCACTAATGTGTCGCCGTCTGCGACATCCGAACAGCTACGTACATTATTTGGTCATGTTGGGGTCTTAGAAGACGTGGTTGTGTATCCCCCAGACGACAGAGAAGAAACAGCGAGCAAGGTAATTGTGTATGACATACCGTCTTGAAATGCAGGTCTGCTATATTCGTTATCAAGAGTCTATAAATGCTGAAGTTGCTCTGCATCTTAACAATACTGTCTTTCTTGACAGAGCACTGATAGTGCTCCCACTTTCAGTTGACAAGGATTCCATTCCCGACGAGAAGTATGCCAACCTTGTCAGAGCTCCTCCCAACACTGCTGCTGGAGTTCTTCCTCGTACCGCTGACTGGCCTCTGGATGTAATCAGTATGGTAGTTGGACGTCCTGGTGAACAAGTTATTCATACACTGGAGCCACGTCTATCTAGTCTGGCATTCCCTCTGTATCCACCTCTTCCTGCTACCACTGATGGGAGCCGCATAGAAGAGATAAGGAGAACCATTTTGGTTACAAATTTGGATCCCAAGACAACCGGTGATCAGGTATGTTTTCTTTAGGCATTATTGAGACAGCTAAGTTCATTAAGAGCGCCACTAGAATTCGGCGTTTTCCAGAAACGAGTGGTAAAACTGCACGTTGGACTGCGGTGTATTTACTAATGAGAAACGAGGTCATTTGACTAGGGCACCCTGGGGCACTATAAAGTGCATGATACCATCCGGATATTTTCTTAGTAGTTTGGTTAGTTTAATCCTAAGTCTTATTCATTTCTGTGCGTCTAAAGTTATTGCCTACGGATATTTTGTATATGCTTCGAATAAATTATCTGCAAATAACAATAGTACCTAACGATTCCTCTGTGCTTTTTGTGTATCGTGTTTTCCAGCGCTACTGGTCATCGACAATGTGCCATCGCAACAGCACTACCTAATCGATGCGTAAATAAAACTCTTGTGATTGCGGTTCCAAAGGGGTCGGTGGCTTTCCTGTACATTTTTATCTTTTCTTTTTTGTTTTTGCAAACTAGTTACCACTGCGTGAGGCCTAACAGTCTCATCCTGCTAGAGCGACCGATTTGGTTATAACGATATTAATAGAATATTTCTATATGAAGTGCTTGGTTCTGCGCTTTCAAGGAGTTCCCGCCCGACTTAAGGTAACTAATAGGGTTACCTAAGCGCTAGTCTTACATATCCTGTTATTCACTAGTTAGATTTGTATTTTAAGCTTCGTGATTTAGCGGAGGCCGTTCACTGTATTCGTTTTCTTTCAAGTCCATTTAATTTTAGGTATTAGAGTTCTTCAACAAACACGCCGAAGTACGTTGTGTACGGATGGCTGGAACTGAGTTTGACCGGGCAGCTTACGTGGAGTTTACTCAACAGCCATCCATCATCAAAGCCTTCGGCCTTATGGGGGCTACGCTGAACGGTCGTCAGGTTTGTTATGATAATTAACAATTAACCTACTTTAGATTATGGTGCAACATTCTAACTGTGCTATCATCAAACCTGCCAACAATGTGACGACGCTTGATGATATAACTAAGCGTTCAGCTGTAAACGAGTCGAGTGGTGGACACGGTAAGTTTGCTTCATTAAGTATTTGTATCGTATTAATGAGCATTGCTATTGTCCGTTGAGTATCATGATTATTCTCGGGAGACTGAGTAAGAAAACCACCAGCTTTATGTTATTTTGTTTGTCGGTGAACTAATCAGAGGGAGTTAGCTTTTACTAACCACTCTTGTGGAACTAATTTGGTTCCAACTTTACTTACGTTCCACTTTTTCAACTGCTGATAGGTTACATTCAGGAAAATAGGGTTTACTAGAACCACTTTCCTGTGTTGCCAACTAGTTCTAAGCCGTGCTTACACATGAGTGTGTCCACTGTGTAACAGTGAATGTCGTGTAGTCGATGGTTCACACGACTGCCGATCTGTAAAGCCACGTTTCATGAAACCATTCGGAATGCTACTGCTCTAAACAATACCAGAACAGATCTCAGTGTGCACTGTGTTGAAAAAAGGTGACAGAACGAAATATATCTGGTATGTGATCTCTATAATTGGTCCCAGTGTCAGACTTTAAATTCCCCAAGACCTTAGATTGTGCTGTTCAGAGATTATTATAAGAAATCCTCGTGATCATTTCTCTTTCACCCGAGAGGGAAAAATTCATATTTGAAGTGGGGTGGTACTAAGAAGCTCTACATGGAAAGTAGATTATCAGGACAGTGGTAATTGTAACGTGTCCTGGCCCTCAGTCTGTCTGTCTGTTTTCGACATAGAACTTTGCACAAATGTGCGGAAGTTCAAGTCACCACATTCCGTGTAGCACGCGAAGCAAGAGAAGAAAGTACAAGAAAAGCATAATAGAAACAGTGAGCAGAGGTGTGAGACAGGAGTAATAAAGAAATACAAAACAGTTTCATTGGAGATCATAAGTCACAGGGAGTGGATGCATCTGCGCCACTGAGAACGATTTTGAGCCATGTCACCAATTGTTTCCAACCATAGATTTTTACCGTCCCGAGGTAAGGGCAACAGAATGATCGCTAATTACTTGAGAGTATGTATCCACCATAATAGACATGAAAACACTATAATGATAACGTAAATAATGTAACATCCATATTATTTCGTGATTTATTCTTGGCCTGCAAAGGCAACGATGCGAAATTTATTCATCCATCGGGCGACGTGATCCGGTAAGCAAAAGTGAGTGTATTTGTGGCAACTCAAGTTCCAATGACAAAAGTTTATAACAGTATCAAAGTAGCAAATATATAACATGGACAAGTTTGTTGCCGCTATATATTTTCAGTCACCACACGCCTCGATGCATAAATTAATTTCTAGGCTTGACTTGTTACTGACTGAAAATAAGCCACTCATGCTAACTGATTCCCCCTCACTTTTACTCATCATTTACAGCATTTAGCACTTTCCCAGTATGCACGATGCGACATTTATGTCTTGTGCTTCTGTGGATGCAAAATAGATCTGGTGTTTTTAAGTTGTCAGTCGTCTCTCCGGATGTGTATAGAAAATATCCCGACCGTGTGTCAACGATTAGTCGTAGGTAAGCGTCCCTAATTGACTTCCTTGATGTGATTGACTTAAGTGAATCTAGTATCCGAGTATTCGGTTACCATGCTCATCCGTCTTATCTGATTTAGCGCGAATAATTAATTACCGAAAACAAAAACTTATCATTTGTCTGTAAACTATTGAAATACAAGTATAATTTATCTGATCTATTCCACAATGCTCACTTTTTACTGACACTAGTATCATATGCCTTTGCAAGCTGCTAAATTGCATACTCCGATATTAACGCTATTCCACTGAAATGTACGGAGTTTTTCTTGTATTTTTATACTAATTCAGGCAGTAAACATAGTGATCGTGCTCGTTCACGCTCCCGATCTCGGGCCCGACGTTCACGGTCCAGGCGTAGATCAACTTCAAGAAGATATCGAAGTCGCTCCAGAGATAGACGCCGCTCTCCTTCTCGCCATAGTCGAGACAGAAGACGATCGCGGACACGGTCTCGTTCTAGGTCCCATGGGCATCGACACCACACACGTTCGCGTAGCAGAGATCGTCGCAGAAGCGACCGTGTAAGATCAAGGTATGCTTCTTGAAATTCAACTTTCAATTTTACTTAATTGTATGAATATCTAGATTTACCATACACAGATTTTTGTAAAGCACTCCTATCGAATAATCACAATATATTCTCATCTTATGTACATGAGGAACGCCAGTTTACAGGAATTACCAATGAGTAATATATATATATATATATATATATATATGCATATATATATGCAAGATAAGGTAATGGAATAATGACATTAGCACACTCTACATAAGTAGTACGAGAAACTACGGTTGAATTGGTCGAGATATCACAGTGTCATCACCGTCATTCTTTGTTTTCCACTCAAGGAATTCACTTAATCGGTTGCAGCTTGTTAGACTAGCTTGTATTAGTGTGAAGCACGTCCCTTTAGTGAGGACGGTAGAAATCAAATGGCGTCACATATCAGCAATGCGTAAACGCCTCAGCCTGCACAAGGCTGCTGAGCTACACTAGGAACTAAGTAAGGTATTTTCCTGAACTCATACTACGTAGGCTATGGCGAATAAATAAATATACTTTCTACTTGGTTGAATGACATGAATATCGTCAAACCTTCAGTCCCACATAAAATATGTACTTATACCCGGCGCGTTCATTCCTTCTGATGTATTCAGAATTGTGGGATATGCATTTCGTATCCCTGTATCGTTTTATGCACCATTTACAAGGCTTTTCACATTATCCAGTCAGTTTTTACATTACCTGTATTCCAAGTAGGGCACAAAACTTCGAGCTTCAGAAATTTTGATGGCGGTAAGGTCGACGAGGTTTAAAAGTGCGACGGCCAGGAGTTTTATTTAGACCTGACTGGTCGGCATTCTACCATCGAACTGCCGATGCAAGCGCTTAGCCCTTGGCCACGCCGAAACACGAACTCAAGTCGCTGCATTGGGAGTGCCAACTACGAAGCCTATCAAGTCACCACCGGATGTTAGCTTCACTCCATGTTTTGTTATCATTCACCGCTATTATAGACTTTTCAGTTTATGAAGATCATTATAATTGGCATGCATTGCAGGATATCACTTCTCAGCGTTTCGCTTACAGTGGACTAGAGTAATTAAATGATAAGGGTTAATCATATCACTTACCCATGCTTGCCTTGAAAACGGCTTTTGCCAAACACAGTGTTCAGTAAACAGAAACTTTCTGTCAAAAATGCAATCGTTAAATGAGGCAGAGTACATCGTAGCAAAGGTTTTGTAACGAAACTGAGTTAGTATTCAGTGAAACTTCCCAATATTAACGCCAAAAAGAAACCAAACTTACGAAATTACTTTACCATATGCACACAACAGTTTCGTCTTTATGTTTGAAAATATGCTCATACACACAGCTGCAAATTACCATCAAATTCTGAGTCTATAGCTTCACAGACATCTATCCCTATGAGCTTATTATCTTAGTGTGCTGTGTACTAACCAATTTCCTATTCTACCTTATCAGGTCTCGTAACCACAGGAAGTACCGGCATTCCCGTTCGCGTTCTGGTCGTCGATATTCACGGAGTCGATCAAGAGGTCGTCGGAGTGACCACTATGACCGAATCAGTAGAAGCATTAGAGAGAGAGAGCGGCCCCGAGATCGTGAAAGAGATCGGGAGAAAATTCGGGAGAGAGATCGAGAAAAAGACCGTGAACGTAATCGTGAACCTGACCGCAGAGAACGAGAACGCGATAAGGGTCGTCACTATGACAAAGATCCAGAACGCAGACGTGATAGTAAACCAGGAAAACACCGTGATGCTACACCAAAGCAAAGTAATAGTCATGAAACCAGTAGACACGACAAAAGAGAAAGAAATACAGAAGCAAATGGAACGAACCGTCGTCGAAGCCTGACCCCTAAAGACGACATTCCACCCACACGAAAGAGTAAGTTAAACAATAGTAGCTGTAGCAATAGTGACGACGAGAGTGCCAAGGCATGCAGTGCCGAGTTGATCGAGAATGGCAAGACGCAAAGTGATGACGAAAGTCAGTCGGGCACTGATCAGCAGACCAAACCAACGGTTGTAGGTGTAAAGTTGGCAGGCCCTGAGGATATGGACCATATATCTCCCGAGGACTCACCAATAAAATCACCCGCTTCGCATAATTCATCCGAAAGTGATTCATCCGGTGAAGCCATGGACACAGAAGCGTAGGTTAGCGCACCCAATGTATCAAATCCTCTATCTTCATTGTATCATACTTATTCTCGGAATTCTTTTATCTTGATGTAATGCAAAAATATAGGGTCTTCATTTTTTTTCCCATTCTACATCTTTTTTACTCATGTTTTATTTGGGCGCCGCTGATAGAACGCAGCTATCGGGAGATGTTACATGAAGTAGCACAACGGCAGTAGTACATTATAGTCATAAGAGCGCAAAGACAAATGAGGCTGAATTACGGCCTTGATCAAATCATTGTAGTTCACCATCAGTAATCCTGAACAACTGGCTCTTATATAGACTACAGTAAGACTTGTATTGATTAGGGTTGAAAGTTAACTGTCTGTTTTCGACATAGAACTTTGCACCGATGTGCGACAGTTCGAGTCGCCACACTCCATGTAGCACACAAAGCAAAAGAAGAAAAGCATAATAGAAACAGTGAGCAGAGGTGTGAGACAAAGGAGTAATAAAGAAAAACAAAACAGTTTCATTGGAGATCATAAGTCACAAGGAGTGGATGCATCTGTGCCACTGAGGACGATTTTGAGCCATATCACAAATTGTTTCCAACCATTGGTTTTTACCGTCTCGAGGATCCTACGTGGCTTAGACTAACTGTTGTAGATTTCATTGACTGGTGCCATGTTTTTGTTTGACCGCTGCTAGCTCTTTTCCAGCCTGACCCTATATCCGCTAACATTGCTCGTCGAGGGAGGCGATGACTAGGCATACGTAACACATATCCTAACCATCTCAGTCTGTGTAACTTCACAACTTCGTCGATTGATTTCCCCTGTTTTCCTAGAACTCGACGCCTAACCTCAATATTTCTCACCTTATTATGCCACTTCACACGGGAAATAGAGCGCAGGCACCTACGGTCAAAGACAGCTAATCTTTCCATTTCTTCTACTCTCAGTGGCCACGTCTCTAAGCCATAAAGGAGGACGGAGCGGACTGATGAGCAGTACACCCGCCCTTTGGTCGATAGTCGAACATCTCGTCTACGCCAGAGTCGGCGTAAACTAACAAATGCGAAACGAGCCCTCTGTATTCGTGCTGAGATTTCGTCAGAGATCAGCCCGTTGGGGCTGATGGTACTTCCCAAATAAGTGAAGCGGTCAACGTGCTCTACCACTTCACTCCCTATTTCTAGTCTAGGAGTCGATGTAGTCCAGTCCTGTAACATCATCTTGCATTTGGCGGGAGCGATTCGCATGCCAAACATTCGTAGACTGCAGCTCAGGGTGTTTAGAAGACTGCATTTTGTCAGCGTCCTCGTCTAGAAGGACTATATCGTCTTCATATTCTAAGTCAACGAGATTATTCCCTGGTAGCAAGTCAATCCCTGAGTCGCTGAAGTCACCTAGGGTTAAGTCCATTAACACATCTATGATGAAGTTGAATAGAAAAGGGGATAATGATGGAAGTTAACAGAAGCGTCTAACAGTTGGATGACATGTAGGGTGTGCGAGAGGAGTTCTGGGCTTTTGCATTCGTGTGCCATCATCCCCCCTGCTTTGTCACTTGCCACCAACAGTCGCATCCAGCAGAGAAAAGAATAAAACTGACATAGGCAATAGTACTGCTACTGACGATATCGGCACCTGTAGCTCTTGGGTTCTGACGATGGGCTGCACCAGTCTATTATGTGGGAGTTCTCTCACTTCGCAGTGGAGTACCCCTGTGGACTTAAGACCCCAGTAGCGACGTATCGGTCCACGTCAAGGATATTCTAGTCTATGACGAACAGGGCAGTAACAACTGAATAATTTGTCGAGGTAACAGTCATATGTACCCTAGGGAAGAACGCCATATCTCACTGAGTGTGTATTGTAGATTAACATTATTCTCTGGCTACATTATGCGATTTGTGTTAGACGTGTTTGGAAGAACAGAAATTAAACGTCAAGACTGAATCCGAGTAAAAATCGTCCATTCAATTGCGCGTGCCAATGATATACAATAAAACCTGCCAGAAGGAATCATACCATCCCATTTTTTGTTTACAAATGTTAGAATAGGAAAATCAGAAGTTAAGAATCAGTTCGGCTACTTGTTGCGGAGAATATAGTTCTGCTGCAACATCTTCGTTCGGAAGTGGCGTGCTCATATCAACCATTGTTTGATACACAGATTGGTAATAACAGTGGATCTGATCTGCAGACCGACGACGAACCAGTCTCTTTAGCTTTTGTGCGTAGATCTTGTTCACTTCAGGAAGAAGTAATTCATCAGGGTTGGAAAGGTATGCGTTGAAGTCCTTCTGAAATTAAAATGAAGACGATTAACATTGGTAACCATAATAATATTAGTAATGATAACAGAAATTAATTTCTGTGCGATGTTAGTGTTTCACGGGAAGGTTGGTGTCTTACAGACATCACATTTATTAGTTGCTGATCGTGGTAAACCACCAAGCTAATAATCTGGAGGTCACTTGTTTTAGGTCCTATTCTTTATTTCACCTTCAATCCCTACTGATTCAAGTAATATCGACTTACCAGACTGAGCTTACCTCGGATGGTTTCACCATAAATCATATAATTTGCTCCAGAAGCCCATGCTGCTGTAAACGCCACTTAATACTCGTTTGATTATTACCCAGATAACTCGGTTCACTGGCGATCTCTGCACACTGATTCGTGTGTGAATATTGATGTTGCTCATCGTATGGTTTTGGTTACCAGCAACCACTAGTTATTATGATGGGTTGAGGACAAACCACACTATCAACACTTCCGATTTCCATATACATTAAGTGTATTCGTCACGGTAACGCTCCTTGTTGACAAGTGTGAATGTAAATTATGTGGAGTTTTTCGTGGACAACATTCTTGTTGTTACAACTCGACCGTCTGGAAGATGCCCTCCATGAGCGATATGACATTTTTGAAAATGGGACTGTTTGACCATCTAAGGGTAGAACGTATTCGTTGTGGTAGAACGTAATTCTGTACTAGGTAATCTTATTGAAAATATCACATAGTAATGGAGTATGAATAACTGGATGACGTTTGAATCGCACACACTAATAATATCAGTTGATACGATTTTTTGTTTGTGTTGCTTAGCATTGTACGCGTGTGTGTATAGTTTGTCAACATGTGTTCGATCGGCAATCAGGAATTTAGAGTATTTTTTTTGTTTATGGTTTACATATTAGGAAAAAACGGAATCTATAGGAATGCTGAAATTTGTGTAAATTTTATTCATGTGATAAGCTTACCAGTAAATTTGAAAACTTAGCTTTCGTGTAAGTTCCAGGTTTTGATTCTTTCAGAGTTTCATCTATATGGGAAAGACCAGTACGTTTGATCACATAGGAAAACTGAGCAGACACTAATGAATTCAGGCATGTATCAAGTTTTGACGCTATATATTCTCTGTGAAAGTTACCAAAAGGGATTTTGGAAAGACTGGCTTCAATAGCACAAAGGCAATTAGTCAAATAAGTTGCTGATGGTGACATGAAAGATGAGTCGACCGTGTCGTTGATATATTGATCGTCCATAAGTTGGATGTGCGACTGAGAACTAATTGGTATCAACACAGCAGATTTTTCACAGTATTCGATTAAGGGGAATATAAGAGCATCGGCTATCTATAACGACATAAGAAAACAGTGTGATTATCCCAACTAAGTTAACATCTGATTTGATTTAAATTTTAATGCACGAAATCTGTTATGGATTTACGGTACAAAAAGTAACCTCATGTTAAAATGAAGAACAGACGTCACTAACACTAACCACTTCAAAGGAGTCGTATTTCTATGATAAGTTTAGGCGAATCAAGTGTGCTTATACACATTTTTTTTCAATATAGTGAACGAATCATAACTGTTGCTATACGAACAATGTTACACAAAAGAAAAGTCCAATCGCGATCTGTTCTAGGCCGACACTAACTAAATGTAAGCACAGACATCTCATCTAACAACAACCCATGACGGACAAAAGCTGAGCACCACTTCCAAGTTATGATCAGTGAAGGACTAATCACAGCTTCCTAACACTTGAGTAAACACCCACTGCACCACATTTCGTCAGTGTACATTTAGGACAGAAACGGGTCAGTTATGAAGCTATTACGTGTCCGACTGACATCCAAATGAAAATAGGTGTGTGTGTGTGTGTGTGCGTCTGTACAGGAGATCACAAAGGACATATCCGAACATATTCTGACGATACTCATCCACAGTTAGACTCACAACATTTATTCTATAGTGAAGACATAACAGGAGGTCATTTCGCTAACCTACAGAAGAGTTACGAAAATCTCATAGATCTCTATAGCCTGAGCCTGAAGGGATCCCTCTATACACAGAAACTGATCTGCAAATATTCATGACATGAGGAGAAGAAAGAGATGCTCAAATGCTGATTGACTAGAATTATTCATAATAACAGCATGCGGTGGTGGGCCATGAAAGGGAAAAAATTGAAAAGGCATCAGCAGTAGCTGAAATCCGTCAAGTGTTAAAACCAATTAGGGAAAAATTGTGATATAAATCTGCAGATCTTCACGAATGGTGGTCATAAGTAAATGGCTACATACTAAATGAGGCATTTGTTAGCAAGAACACGAGAAACACGATTAACCCTATCGGATTAGTGCAGACAGTTGATACTGCGTAGTCAGTGTTCTCGGGATTCTAAGAATTAATCAAATGCCTTGGAAACCTTAAACAGCAGAACAATCCTTATCATCTTTGAATATCTGAAAAAGGTTCGCTAATAGTCAACGAGAATATTCGCTTCCGTAGATCTCCATCCATTTTAGTTTGATTCGACTTAGTATGTCTGCTTTATTTGTGCGTTTTTGGTGTAACAACTAGCACTGGTGCATCTTTATGGAAAGTTCTATATTGATAAGTCAGTCAGTCTATCAAAAGTAATCAGCAATATAGGAATTCACTGAATAGGCATTGCAAATGAGGAATTTCCGACCCTTACGTGTTAGTCTTGATTCTTTTTATTTAGTTGTACTTCAGTGGTCTCTTCCAATTGTTTTAGCTATCAACTTCTGTAGTGTTCGTATTCACATTTGAACTAATTGATTTCTGTGCACGAATTCTATGTTGTTAATTGCATTCTGCCGAGCGATTGAAGTGTCTGAAGAAATATGCTCAAGATATTTCAACCACATATATGCATTTATAAAGTATTTTGAAACTGGATTCTACATACCATCATTGGTTTTAGAGTTACATCGCAGTCTCATTTATGCATTAAAATATTGTGTCAATGTCTTTTGAAATAAATGATAATAAATAGGTTGAAATGAAATTGCTGACAAAGATACTTACAAACACTCTTTATTACAACTGAATATTAACTGACTGACTGTTTTCAGCCTAGGACTTAGCAAATAACTTAAGCAGTTCGAGGTGCTACACTCCCTGTACCACACGAATTAAGATAAAAGAGATTCAAAATAACAATAATAAGCAGAAATATGAGGGCGAAAGATCAGTAAAATCTGTGCCACTGAGAACGATTTTAAGCCACATCACCAGTCATTGGTTCTAAGTATTCCGAAGACCCCAACGGGGAAACCTACACCTCTCTGGGTAGCTCAAACTAACTTTCAAAGATTTCATGGAGTGATTCCAAGTTTTGGTCTGACCGTGAATACTGAAAGACTACATAGGGATTTATCGACATCTAGTGATTGCCATATGAGTCCATTGATCAAATTAATGAATTTAAAAAAGAAACATCTGATACTCTCTCATGTATCTTCACCTTGAGAGTAATTGGACATCCTACTTTAATAGCAGTTAGTGTATTTAAAAAACTTACAAATGTTTTCCTAATTTTTTTCAGTTTTGAATCCCCAATTCTATCTTTATCATATTTACACAATTATCATCGTCAACTGTCCAGCTAGAAAAAACAGCCTGTTTCATTTTGATTTACATGTTTTGATTATCTAACTATTTCAATTTGACAGGGATTCATTTACCTGCAATTCATGTTATATAAAATAATGTCATATATCTTACTGGTTATTCCTTTCTATCTAACAAAGTTAAGATAGTATCAATGGGTGGTGATAAAAGTATTCAGGAAACAAATTACAGATATTATTAGACAGATATGACCAGAATAGCAGGATACTTAACTCCTCTGATCCCAGATTAATATGTAACACCTGACTCGGATTAATATTGTAACAAATGTAAAAGTTATGCGTGAATAACAATTCAAAAATAGTACAGTAAAAATAGAGAAAAGCGTTACTAAATTGTGATTTATGCATTATATGTAACTAATGTGACAGTGGCAAAAATGTGCTTACTTCTTTATGTTCAGCCTCAACCATATTATTCGGTAGTAATGAAATATCTTGACTACCAAGCATTTGGACCAGCAGTTGCAATGTATCATTGACTAATTCATTAGGAGACAATTCTGAATTTGGTAAATCTGGCTGTTATAAATAATAAAGAATATTCCATAAAGGTATTACAAACAGTAAATCTTTATAGTGTTAAGATTAATATACTGTACATTAATTCTAAACACTTTTACAGTGTTATTTGTTGTCCACTGAGAGAAGATTAGCATTACAGTAGAAGAAGAGAAGAAATAGAATAGTTTTCTGATTTTGGGTTTGTAGAATCAATTGCAGTGTAGACATCATGACGAACTGACAACAGTTACAGCATGATTGAAAACTAAGGAGCACTAGGAACTTTTATCCTCCTAATATGCGACTGTTCAACAGTGTGCAGATATCGTTTTACCTGATATCGAACCCCCAGCAGATTTAAGGTGTGGAAACAGCATGCTTTCCCTTGAACCGTTCAGTTGGAATTAATAAACTCTAACCTATGTCAGTTAATAAGAGAGCGCCGTAAGTGGGTTCGATACCCGTCGGCATCATGTACATGAACTATTGAAGAGACTAAAACTACGGCAAAATGACTCCTTACCTGTTCAACGATTATCCAAGTGATGACTTGTATGTCCAAAGACCTCCAAACAGCAGAAGCCATTGTAATTCGCCTAAAACAACCAGAGCTCTGTGTACGGAAGAAGCAGTTGCAGACACTTATTGCTAACTTGGCCTGCTGCCCAGCTGATAAATTCATTAGCTCTCCATTACATCTTCCCCTAATTTATCTGATATTTAGTTTAGTGTTACACTGATGCATATTTTTCTTACTGATGCGTTTGAAATAGAACCTGTCGACAATTATTGATTTAATGTAATTTAAAACATTGATGTTGTTCGTAACAATATTTCTATAATTATTACTGCCATATAAATGTAGAACCTGATGACGAATTTGTCAAAAAGAATGTCATTCATTCATTTATCAGTCTTTTAAATTTTTCACGAGCATCTCCAATGAATTCAAACGTTTTAGTTAGTGTAGTTTACTGACCAAACAACTTCAGTTCATGCCAAAAGCCTTCACAAAAAATAAAATTTATTTACATTAGTATTACAATCGATATAAAGTTGGTGAATCCTTCAGAGTACAAAAATTTAAAACAACTACACATAATCACACACACACCAATAAGGATTAAGAGACAGAGATATGAGATAAAATTGTAGTAATACCTGTCGTAAAGTTGATAAATTTTCGGTTATTTTTATCTATTTTTAACTACATGAAGAATCTGCAATAAAGGAATGCAAGAGAAGCATTTGGCCTATAAAGTAGGCTATAAGTCCATATTAGATAGGTTCAATTGATACAAAACAGTGATGATGTTTCTTGAGGAATTTATTGCTCAAAATCAAATCAATATATTCACACGACTGTTTGACCCTCTTTTTATAGCCTTACTCTCTTCTCTTTCTTTGTTTCAACTTTCCGTAGAGACACGATATAGATAATTCGTCATATAAGCTGAATAATAAGGAATTCAAAGCCTCGATCTGGGTGACATCGCGCATCAGGCCCTGGAGTGGAACCCGAAAGGGAAGCGGCGAGTGGGACGTCCAAGGGCGACATGGAGGAGATCGTGTGAAGAGGAGTTGAAACAGTATGGACTAACATGGATGCAGGTGAAAAGTACAGCAGAAGACAGAAGCAAATGGAGACGTGCAGTTGAAGCCCTATGTTCCACTAGGAACACAAGGGAACAATAATAATCATACAAAACCTCGGTAGCATTGGCATACAAATAAGAAAAAGCATTAGAGGCCCTACGTAGGATTCTTAATAAGCCTGGAATTACGGTAACATTTAAACCAAAAGAACTCTATCATAAACAAACTCTGTCGGATTAAAGACCAAATTAAGAAAAGTAATAAAATTTACAAAATCTCATGTAATGATTGTGAAGTCGATTGCATAGGTCAAACTAGTAGACCGGGTCAGTTAGATTATCTAAAAATAGGAATTTAGCTAGAACAACTGAGCCACAAAAAGCTCAGTTATCACAATGCATTCACTTGCATGTAACTACACAATAGGGTAAAAAGAGGAACGTTAATCACGGGATCTTAGTTCATCGAAAAAATACCAAACACGTGTGACAAAAGGACGTAACACCCATACTGAATACATGGAATATTGTAATAAAAAAGAGGAGGCCATAAAAAGAAATTCAGGAAGTCATGTGTATACAACATTGTTAAGATTCTGAGCGGTAAATGTTGTGCTCCAAACCTATCCGTTTATTAACAGTTATTCACTGTGTGTGTATGTGTGCGTTGTGTCAAATGAACTCTAATAAAGAATTTCGAAAAGGAATGTGAAGCAGAATTAATTTGTGTAACAGTGACAATAAGACACGAATCTGTCAAAGGATGCAATTCGTTGTGATGAATGAAGTCCATTTAGTAGGTTGTGAGTACAAATACTGATAAATTATAGTATAATATACAATGGTTTTACTGCATTCTAGTGACAAATTTTGAAAATCACTGATTACTAGATTCTATTCTACTACTACTGTATGAATGACAGACATAATCACTTACTACAAACTCAATAATCTGACAGCTACTTGATGTTGTTGTTAATGATGAAAATAATCGAAAATACACAAATACCTGGACTTAAAAATAGTAAAAAAATGTGTATGAGTCGCAGTAAATGACTGAAAATTATTGACATCACTGTTAAAAAAGAATAGTAAACTTGGATAATTCATGAAGAAAATAAAAGACAGATTCAGCGAAGAAAATTTTCTTTATCGACGAAATCATCTTCAAAGGCTGTACAGTCGTATTTATATTTATCGAAAATGTATTATTTACTACTGAGTAATAGGGTGTGACATAATTGATATAATTACTAAAAAGTGGCTTTAAAAGTAGAAAATAAAAGTTGTAAATTACGTGGTACTCAACGGCACAAAGTTAGAAATTTGATAAGGTTACAATTGCTATTGATTGAGAATAAAGGTAGTTGAGTGTCAATTTAAGAAGTGTAAAGAGGGTGTGAAAATGTACAAACGGAACATATGATAATAGGACCTAATCATTAAGGTAAAAGCAAACTAAAAGTAAAATTTAAAAAAAAGAAAAAAATTAAAAATTTTTTGTAGGGGACGACTAGTGAAAAGATTAAGACCAAGGTAGAATAAGAAGTTGGACGAACTTTTTCTGTATACAGAGTTCGGGGTAGTATTGACGAATTGCCAGCGCCCTCATCATACATAAATGCCGAAACCTGACGCCCTTTCTACCATTTAGCCTCACTTTGCAGGTGATTTTGAAAGTCGACTCTGATGGAGCTAAGTGACTTGAGTTCACCAAGTGTTCGAGAATTGAGCCAGCAACTGTCTTGCATTGTCCTTTTGCTAACTATGCCGGATAATGTTTAGAGATGCGTTTGGGAAGTGTGTGCTTTTTGAGGCAGTTTATCCTTCACACATCTATTGATCATTTGTCAGCTGTAGAAAATGATGTGCAACTCAGCCGCAAAGAAGGCTTTTCTCAGTGATCTGCATAAGCGATTCTTCAGGATGTCAGCCACGTATCACATTTAAATGCAATGTTCATAACTTCATTTTTACAGATTATATTTTTATTTCATAGCAGAAGTTTACAGGAACAGCCTTTCATCGCATTTTTTTATTTGCTTATTGTTATAAGCCGTCTTCTTATCATTTAGAAGGTAATTATCAATTACACATTTTACTTTACAAGCTTAAATGATTTAGTTTAGTAGTAATCTACTCCTTTGTGAATAATGATTGTTTGCATGTATTAACGCATGACTTGTATACACTGAGAAAAAAGCTACAACAAGGTATTGATTATTTTTCATTATGGCTTATTTAGATCAATAATTTCTAGAAAACAACAATCATGTTTAGAAGTGACACCAAATTTAAGTATAGGTAGGCATAGAATGGTATACTCATGCAAAAACTAATATTAAATACTGTCTATTTTCATAATTACATAACTCTAGATAACAAAAAACAGATGCATACCTTCCAGATACCAACTTTTGTTACTCTGAATTCTTTTAATAGTAATGTCAAAGAGTTATTAAGTAATTGAGAAATTAGAATTTCAGTATAATGATTTTACCAAAAAACAAAATTGTACTTTAAAAGACTCACTTGTTCCAAGTTTTGTTTTACAAACTGTTTAAGAGTGTTGAGTAGTAATCTTTTGCATAGCTGTTGAACATCATCTACGCATAATACAAGAGAGGCTGTAGATTCAAGGAGTAACCTAAATAAAGCAGTATAGTAAAGACTATCTTAATGTTTAACATATATTTTCATGTATATATCATCAAACAATATTCATGGAATAAAGAGACAAAATATAATAAAAGACGGAAAGCAATGTAAGCTAATCATGCAAACTAAAACCTGCACTGAAGATGTTGTCTAAAAGACGACAAAAGCTTCGCAATTAAATCATCCAGAGCTCAGAGAACATCAATAACTCAACATAGAGGTCAACATTAATGAAACAATGAGGAAATCATGAGGTATTCAAGTATTGGTTTGTAGGGATTTGGTTGATTGGTTACAGGATTTCATCATGAGCTGACATCAATTAGAGAACCATTGGAAAAGGTGGGAGTACTGAACAGCTGTTTTGTCCTAGTTTGGGGCTCTTCAGCAGTACGCACCCACCAGGATTCGAACCCAGGACCTCCTGGTTACAAGGCGAGCTAGCTCGCAGACCATTAAGCCACTGTGACCCAATCCAATGACCCATAAATTCTAACTTTCGCCAATTCACGATATAACCCAACCGCTAGCCAACGTCTTCGTCGAGTATTTGTCCTCACACCCAACCTGCTGCACCCTACTGGTCACGAATTCCCAGGAGGTCCTGGGTTCGAATTCCGGTGGATGCGTACTGATGAAGAGTCCCAAAATAGGACGAAACAGCTGTCCAGAACTCCCAGGTTTTCCAATGGTTCTCTAACTGATGTCAGCTCATGATGAAATCCTGTAAAAATCATGAGGTTGCGTAGACTGATATAAATGCGGAAAATTTCATCCTGAGCTGGCTTTTAAACTAAAAGAGAGGAAACTTTATTACCATAAAATAGTATTTCATCTGTAGACTCTGCTTAGGACTATTTAGTACTCTCCGATGTGATGAATCGTTTTTTTTATTTTCTGAAAGAGATTTCTTGACTAGTCAGTTCGGCTGGAGTCTGGTAAAGTATACTGCATCTCGTCACTGCCATTTATCAGGCCGGTTATTCTTCTAAAGTCATGTGCAGAGTATTAGAATTATCTACACTTCTTAATATAATTACACATTTTTTTATTCCTTCACGTTCCCAGTGGGACATAGGGCTGCAAGCTTCTGTAGCAGTGGTGTTTATTTTTACAGGATGGGATTGCTAGCCTCATGCCCAACCTTTCCTCCTTACTAGCTTTTGTTATTACTGGCTTAGCGAGGTTTGGGAGTGCGTCGGCCGGGAATCGAACCCCGGACCATGTACATGGTCGGCGAACGCTATGCCACCGACGCGTTGACTCTTTCATACTAATCCTTTTTTATCTCATCTGTCGTCTGACAAGGAAAGTAGTAGTTTGGAAAATGTTAAGGATAATCACGCAAGGACATCAATCTAGGAAACCTTGTAGTTAAAAATGGTTGTCTTGTGATCGCCAGAACCTGTGATGAGAGACTCGATTGGCTGGAATATGCATGTATGAATCAGAAAATGATAGAAAAAGGATCAATAAAAATAAAAAGTAAACATCCACAAGTAGTAAAGTGATACGTGAGAAGATAAAAAAAACAATGTTGATCAACAAAGAAATATGACACTAACATTAAGATGAAAATAAAGCATGAATACAATCCGCTCTGCTGAAATCAATTTTAGATTATAACTTCTAGAGTATCAGATCACAGATTTCCTTTGTTATGTGTGCAGGTTATAAATAAGCACCCCAAGATTTCTTAACACAAGATAGATCAACTGTCAGTGGTTTCAAAAATTGGTGATGTTCTACTTCACGTCGAAGTAAACAGTGAAGATAAAGTATACAGATAAAATAAGATATCCTATGCTTAACATTTAGATCACTTTAGTGATGGCTCCAATTAAAATAAAAAGGCAAGTTAGTCAGTTTAGACTATTAAATAAATGCGCAAAGTTTTAGGGTAAAACATACAACGATGGTATAATTTATATCTATTAATTCATATATATATATATATATATATATATATATATATATATATATATCTTGAAAATCCCCATTTAGTCATATGAAAAAGAGAAGACGTTCAGCGAAGAGACTCTTTTCGGCGAATTCATTCACATAGCTGTACAATCGCATTTATATATAATTATTTGAGTGTGTGTGTGTACATGAGGTTTGTCAAAATTAGATAATTGATCAGGTAATAAAAGAATGATCTAATATAGAAACAAAGTTAATTGGACAGCAACTAAATTAAGATTGAGTTAGTAAGTTAGATGACGTAATACAATTGACTAAAATGTTTTAACTTAGGTCAGGTTAGCAACAGAGGTAATTACAGGTAGAGACTAAGTAGAAGTGGGGTAGATAATAATGCCATTTAGATTAGAAATGAAATTGAGCAATTAAGTTGGATGACGTAACATAAATGACTATAAATTGAGCGTTGGTCAGGTCAATTAAAGTGGTAGTGAGGTGTAGAAATTAAATCGGGTAGGGGTAGAGACAAGAAAGTTGAAAATGCAAAATATTACAATTGAGAAGACAGAATAATACCAATGAAGAGACAGAAAAAAAAATTAGGTAGAATTTACCTTTCAGGTAATAATGTAGGTTAAGTCCATTGTAAGTTTAGTGATTGAACGAACCTCTTCTGTATGCAGAGTTCAGGGCTTAGCAAGTGAATCGCCATTGCTTCTGCAGTTTGAAGAAGTCTGATTCGTACACCTTTTGGAAGACTACTTCTTACTCTGTAGACGACTTTGAAGTTTGTTTGGGGTGCAGCTTGGTGTCCGGATTCTATCAGGTGTTCTAAGATGGAGCTGCGGGGACATCGCTTTTCTCCTTTGTAAAACCATGCTGGTAAGTGTTCGGTGATACGCTTGGAAAGCGAACGCTGGGTACGGCCGACATACCTGGCTCCACACGAGCAGGTGAATTGGTAGATACACATTGATGAGGCCAACAGTGGTAGCTTATCCTTCACGTTCACATGAATCATAGGTTTTGTGGAGAAAGTTAGTCGTAGTTCAGCTGCGAAGAAAGTCTTCTTGAGTGAGCGCGACAGTCGATTTTTTAGTATTTCCGCAGATATATCTCCATTGAATTGAAGGTTTATGTAGAGCGGTTTCTTCGGGACGCTATGCGTGGGCGGCTTTTGTGGCCTAGGATTCATAGATTTTGCAATAAATCGTTCTGGGTAACAATTCTCGACGAGGATTCTCTTGAGATTGTCCAGTTCATCTTCTACGGTGTCCGGGGTACAAATTCTGCGAACTCTGTTGCTAAGTGAACGGATCAGGTTCCGTTTGGTGTATAGGGGTACCCAACTGTGGAAGTTAATCAGCTGTCCGTTCCATGTTGACTTTCTGTAGATAGATCTTTTCAGTGTTCCATCGTGTTCTCGTCTTGTTAGTTGGATGTCAAGAAAGGATATTTTAGAGTTGGACTCTTTCTCCAGCGTGAACTGAATTGCGGGGTGGCACTTGTTAAACGACTTCAGGATGTCGTCTAGATTCTCTTCATTGTTGACGATAATGAAAGTGTCGTCGACGTATCTCTTGTAGATTCCGAAGGTATCGATCATTTTCTTCATGCATGTGTTTTCGAGTTTTGCCATGAAGAAATCTGCAAGTAATGGGCCTAGTGGTGAGCCCATAGCTATACCATCCTTTTGGCGATATATTTCGTTGTTGAAAGAGAATTGAACATTCAGGGTACACCTCAGAAGGAGTTCTTTAAGACGCTCGGTGGGTATACCGATGTTTATTCCTTTGGAATCAATAAGTTCGCATACATAGCATATTGTTTCAGTCAGTGGAACATTTGTGAATAGTGATGTGACATCTAATGAGATCATGGTCCTGTTGGATACGTTGATGTTTTCAATTGAGTCGATAAAGTCGAATGAATCTCGAACTGTGTGGCAGGAAACTTGTCTTCTGATTGGTTCTAGTAGATCTGCTAGCCATTGGGCTGTGCGGTGATAAGGCGAATTGGTCATGTCAAGGATCGGTCGAAGAGGGATACCGTTCTTGTGTACTTTCGGAAGTCCATAGAGTCGTGGTATATTTGAGCCGGATGGTCTTATGGATTCAAACGTTTCGTTGCTGATGAAAGATTCAGTTTTTAGCTTACGGAGGGTGTCCGTTAGCTTTTGTTCGGTCTGTTCAGTCATGTTTTTCTCGTTGACCGGTTTTGTGAATTTACATTCATCGGATAGTATAGTCAGCATCTTACTGATATAGTCCTTACGATTCATGATAACGATTCCTCCGCCTTTATCAGGACGTAATATCATAATCTCTTCGTTTTTCATAAGTTCTTTCAGCTCCTTATAATGCCTCTTCGTCAAAATGGACCTTCCGTTGGGTTTGGTATTTATAAACTTGTGACAACTGTCGAGGATTGATGCTTTGAGTTGTTGTAGGTTTTCATCTGATGTGGGTGTGAGATCGTAGGTTTGGTTTATTAGATTTTCAAACTGAATCTGGCATTGTAGCTTGTCAATACATTGTGGTTTTACGCAGAATTTCGGACCTAGAGATAGTGCCTCTAGTTGGGTAGTAGATAGTGTGATGTCTGAAAGATTGAATACGTATTTTTCTGGATTGCTTGGGAACGGAGATTCGGTATTAATTGTAGGCTTTAGACTTTTGAGCAGATCTGCTTTAGTCTTGTTGCATTCTTTCTGAGTGACTTGTTGCACATATTCTTCGAAGGAATGGCGTAGATCTTGATCTAAGTCTTCGACTGCATGAGCTCTTGAGTAGACGTTTCGCTCTAGCTCGAACACGCGTGATTGAATGGAGTCGATGTTGTTTCGTGTGTGTCGTCTGAGTGTTCTGGTATTCGGTTGGATGTGGTTGCGTCTGAGTGACTTCCAATACATCTTTGGATACTCATGTCGATCTATACAATCTCTTAAGAAATCAACCTTTGTCTTCGCTACCGCAAGCTTGACGGAGTAACGCAGGAAACCATCCAGCTCCTTCACCGTCCCTGGGTCCTTGCAACGTTTGAGTATCTTGAAAATCCCCATTTAGT